TTGTGGGATATCTACCGCATTAAAGGTGCTTCCAGAATTATGCATGCTAGGAGATGCTTCACTAGTCGTACTGATACCGACACCAGAACCATCATTTTGTTTTGCAGTTGCCAGAAGCTCTTCTGTCAAAGCAATTACCTGCAGTCATACAAATTAGCCAAGTCTAAACTAAAACCACAAATTATTTTCCCTGCAATAAACGAAATAATTGATGAATTTTGCACTTAGAATTCAAAGTGACATCTGAAATCACAGGAAAGAGCAGGCTGTCCATCACCAAACATAGCACACCTGCAATGGAACCAAGATAGAAGTGATGGACATCTTTATAAAGTCTCTCACTCCAAAAGTCTGTAAATTTCTCCCACTCCTCTATATCAGGGGTGAGCATTTGTTTTAGTGGAATAAAATATCCTCACCTTCGAAAACCAAGGTAAAAAGATATCTCTTCAGTCACAGGTAGTTCCTTGACACTGCTTGTTCGAGCAATAATAATATTTGAGAAAGAGGGAAACAAATTGCAAATGAAAAAATAACAATCACCTATACTCAGATTTCTTAACCTATTATACTTAATTGTATTGACTTCCACTTCTCAGAAAAAAATGATCAGACACAACTCCAGGAGCTTAATATTTGCCAGTACCAGGGATGTGAAATAGAAAACTTTAACCAAAGAAAGTAATCCCCTCATCCCAAAAAAGAATCAAAAGAATAACTAATAAAGAAAGGCACCTCCACAAGCTCCTTTTCCATGTCTAAATACTCAGAGTTCCCAGGTTCATCATGCAATAGGTTGCGGACCTGATCCATATAAAAGGCAAATGTAGTCGAAGGAATTAGTCACAAGTTCCTAATAACAAATTGGAAGTTATAATCTTAAAAATGCATAAAGCAACCCAAAGATAAGAACTAAATGAACATAAGGTGCTTGATGAAAGAAAGCTATGCAAGCATATAGACAGAAAATGCATGCCCATTGAAATGTAAAATTTCTTATCCACTCAACAGGAATGAGGGAACAAGCAATGAGACAAATACCAGAAAAAGAAAAATTGCCAGTGATACTGACCTTGATAGAAAAAGAAAAATCACAGGAACAATATAAGAGAACCGAAATGGAAGAATGATTATAAAGATGTTTCCATGGAGTGTCACCACTCATACTTCAATGAAACTCCAATTTTAAGCAGGCTATTTCATATGATAATATGTAGCACTTTATTAACATTGAATTTTTTAAGATAAAAAATAATTTAACAACATAGGCAATGTCAATCAATTTTCTCACCTCTACTTAACAACGAATCAGCATAATTGACCATAAAACTTAAAAAATTTAAATCGACCTTCAATTATCACAGAGTTACAATAGCACTCATGAGATGAGCTGGTGTGTCCACAATCAAATCAATAAACCTAGCTTGAACTCCGTACTCTCATAAACAAGAATAAGCCCAAAACTTGAACATAAATTAGAAGGTGCACAAAAACCTTTTTTTCTCACCATGAATTTTAACACCCTGAAAACTATAAAGATCCCATATAAAAGCAAGCTTAACAAACTGGAGATATTGATAATCATAGAAGAAAGAAGTACAAGTGCCAGAATGAGAAACAAAATTTAGCAACTTGGTTTGGGTTCTTGCAAACTGAGATCATGATTGGTGATTCAGTCATCTAGCTATAGTGTGGTGTCGACAGGGTGGATTGATCGTAAGGATTATACAGAGTCTTGATTAATCCTCGTCATTAATCTCAGTGCAAGAATTTACATTCCACTTTGTGGTAGGCACTTCTTGAATGTAAAATCAGGTCATCTTGTGATATATGATTTCAGTCAAGTCATCCAGGAATAACATTTTAAAGACGCTGACTAAGATCAAGCATGAGAAGCTGGAGTGTTTGAAAACCAGGATGGGAAAAAGAGTTTGGTAAATTAAGATGAGAGAAAGGAATGCGGGTGTTAGAATAAATAACAATATTATCCTCCCAATTATATTTTTATTTCTATTTGAGGACGGTACTATGGCCTTTTCCAAGCCATCCTACATCCCGTTACTCCAATTAGGGAGGGTAGAAGACTAAGAATATGGATCTAAAATGGTTTACTGGTCCTCTTCCTTGTCTTTCCCTCCTCCTATCACTTCCTACCAAACAAAAGATTAGTTTCCTTTCCTCCCCCAAGTCCGTTCTTCTTATCCTTCAATTTTCCACTAGTATTTATGCTAGACAAATCTTAAGAGTTAAATTCCCCTTCCATATATTTTCTAGGGACACGCTTATATGTATGCTAAAATAAATGCAAGATTCTTTTAGCAAGGATTTTAGAGTAAACTAACAAAAAAATATAAAATCATCTTCAGCCTGCATGTGACATAATCATGCTATTGAGAATTACATATTTCAAACATTTTACCATGAAATACACAAATTAAATAAACAAGAAAAAAATACTTAACACGTTAAAATAAACTCTTCCTGAAATTTTCATCAAGAAAAATAACTTAAATAAGCTTCTATTTTATAAACAACAATAAACTCCAAGGATCAAAAAGTTAACTGTTCAAGCTTGCAAATAAAAAATCATACCAAGAAAAAAAAATTAACTTGCATATGGAGTAAATAAGCTTAGCTCAACTAAAGCAACGCAACTATGAAAAACTATACAGACCTCAAATATTCAGGCTTAAAATTACGAAATCCTACAGAAGAAACCTCAAATTTCACATAAAATTAATTAGCCTCACAGTTTCCAAAAGCCCTACGGTAGATAACTAAACTACTATCTGATTGACTAATTACGACTTCAATTATCCAAAACTTAAAATTCCAAACTAGTGAAAGCAAATTATTCAAAAACCCTAATTTCCATCGAGGAAGAGCGTGGACGCCAGTAACAATCATAATATACATCTCAATCACTATTTATGTATACATACAGAATAGTACCTGTTGTAGCTGCTCTTTGTAAGTGGAGAGGTTGGAAGCGAGTTCTTCGATGCTAACCTCTTCACCTCCGCCGCTTTCCATTTATTTTGTAATTTTATAAATCAAATTCTTCGAATTTAACAGGTATGCAAATGGAAAACTAATGGATTGTTGTTACTGGATAGAAGTAATACAACTGCTTTTCTGAAGCAGAGAACAAGAGAAGAGGAACCCTTGTGTCGAAGGGAAAAGCCCCGAATGACAATTTATTGAGGAAATTGATTAGAGAGGATCAGGTTCGATTTTGAAGAGAGAGAGTGGAAAAGGACCAACTTACACATTTACATAGAATAGCCCCTTTTTTTTTTTTTTTTTTTAACGAGGTGTCGCAGCTTACGCCAGACTATATCCTCGTCCCTGAACTTCCGACCCCTCAGCAGCTCAGGGAGGTAAATCGCGAGATGTGCCCAAGTTGACCAGGGTTCGAACAGCCTTTATACTCCTGACCCCAAGGGAGTCTCCTCCATGGTTATTACATTATCAAGCTGCTTTAACCCTTCCTCTAGTTATTACAACACTCAGCTGCTCCAACCAGAAATTGAACTCCCCACGCTGGGATTGCGAGCCCCGCACTGTCCTTCCTTTACCAACTTGATTATGTCCTTGCACTTCTCTTCTGTACAGTGAGATGAGAAAATGGATAATGTTCACTGCACATTTGAGATTTATAATAATGTCAATTTTTTGACAAATATATTCTTTTATCTATAGAATAAAGATAGAGAAGTTCTCATCAAATTAGATAAAATTAATGAGAAATTTGTCTGTCTATTTTATGACCTTTATTTTCGTTTTTACTTGAATTTCGATAGATATAGACATTTTCAAGCAAGGTTGATTGAGAATATTTGATCATTTTTAGACTTGTCATCTCTTCTTTTTATACGAATTTGAAGCAGCTCGATATTTACGTCAAACTAAGAAGAATTAAGCTGAGTGTACAACAATTGTTGATAGCCCACTCTTGTGAGTGGGCTCGACGATTATTTTAATAGTGGAGTCCACTTATTTGATGTGAGAGTGCTGTAAAAAATAATGTAAAAAAGTGCTATAATTGTAGCACAATTGAACTAAGAAAGGATGACATATTGTCAATCTCATCTAAACACTTAGGACCCGTTTGGTTTGTATTTAAGTTTTTTAGTTTCGAATTCATTTTCAATTTTCCATTTGAAAATCTATATTAAGAATGTTAAAAACGCATTTACTTTTTCGTTCTCAAAAATTAGTTTTTAAAACAAAAAATTCGAAATATGTTTGATTTGCCATTTTGAAAAATTATTTTATGACATTTTATTGTAAAAAGTTTGATTATTTAGTAAAATAGAATTATTTTATGTTAATATATTATATTAAAATTGATGAATTTTACAATTTTTCCACTAAAAAGGTAAAATAATAACATATAATAAATTAAGTTGACAAATATAAAAAATTAAATATGTGAACTTAACTTTTTTATTTGTATTAATTTAAGTGTTTTAAGTGACATCAAAAATGCATTTTGAATTGGTTTCGAAAATGAACTTTTAAAATTCCAAACCGAGTGTTTTGCAAAACTAAAACAACAAACCAAACGCAACCATAGTCTCTCTCGACGTTTGTATCTAGGTCAATGACGGTAATGATAACTCAAAAAACTTGCACCAAATAATTTCCAAATTGCATTAACCCAGGCTGCTCACGGCTTTTGCACATTCACAGAACGGCCTCTGTTTAAAGGCCTCGCCATTATTCTGTAATTTTAGCCATTTTCTTACCGCATTTTTCATTTTTAGAAGAAATTTTCTAATGATGAACCCTTTTATTTTTACTTATTTATTTGATAATCTCTAATCGAAATCGATTTCCTTAACACGGTGCTTTTAAGCACCAGATGACATGACACGCTATAATAGGTGACGTAATCAGTTTTTTGTAACCAATTATTGTCTCCAACCACCTATTGTTGTAACGTCCCAAGTCACCCGAGTGACAATTTAGTGCTCAATGACTACCACCAAAAAATATAAAATAAATAAAAACTCAACATTCTTTCACGACAAAGCAATTACAAAATATCAACCACATGACAAATAATATCTAATAAAAGTCATTGCTATAAGATGCAGGAAATGAGTTTTGGGGAACAATCCAGTTTACTGTATAGTCTTTTTTACAGGCTCACAAGCTGGCATCTAATTTAATTATCACTCCCCTTCGCGAGGCCTATAACCTTTTCCTCTGTATAGAATACTCTCGTCCCATAAGAATATGGGGAAAAAAAGCTGGTTTCTGAGGTTCGTTGGCAACAACAGGAAATGTGGGCTGAGACAACTTTACTCATTCCGAATGGAAGAGTATTTCTCCCACATTGATTGGGACTTGGAAATTTCAACCATGAGGTTCTTAAATTTGTGGCTGCAGTCTCCTCCACTGCAAATGTAGAGGAGGGAGAAAGAAATCAATCAAGAGCTGCACTTACAAATATTAATATAATTCGCGATCCCAGGAAGGGAAAAAATATATACGTGTGCGTGTGTGTGTGTTATGATATGTTATGTTATATTATGTTATGTTATTGTTATGTTATGCTATGTTATCGTTGAAGTTCAATGCAGTTTAACTTATAAATTATCAGCAAACAGTAAT